AGTAGAACAAAACATTTTTAGTTTGTTTTTCACATGTAGATATTCTTCTTTTTTGTCATTCGCAATGTTTGAAGTATTAAACATGTGAATCAATACAATACGGTACACAATTCTTCCAATGACTCCGGTTGCGGGCCATATCTTCAAGAGTGTTAAGCCATTGGTACTCCTCATCTTGGAGTCCCCATCCTGGAAGACGCACGGATCCAACAGCGGCTAGACACGACGTCAGCGACTTCATGTGCTCTCGCCAAGTGGAAGGCTGACCACCACGCGGTTGCCTCCAGCCAGGTGCTTGACGAGCGAATAGAGCGCGACGCGGTAGACGTTCAGGTGCCATGTGTAGGACGTGACCAATCCATCTCAACTGGCGCAGCAAATCCAGTTTGTTGAAGGGAATACTCGCATTTCCCAAGATGCGACATAGAACGTCATTACTATTAACTCGGTGTTGCCACCAAGCACGATCAATCCTCCTTAAGCAACTGTTATCAAAGACCGAAAGACGATGCATGTCTTCCACGCGAAGCGGCCAGGACTCGCTCCCATACAACACTGAACGAACAGATGGGATGTAAACGCGACACTTTAGCGAAAATAGGACGTCGGGACGACGCCACAAGTGCCTCAGATTGGCAAATGCTGATCGAGCTTTATCGATGCGATGAGAAATTTCTTTGCTAACAGTGCCATCAGCAGAAACACAGCTCCCCAGGTAGACGAAATTATCTACCTGTGCAAGTTGTGCACCTTCGAGAGTGAGCACGGGAGCAGGTGAAAGCCAATGCTTGAGCGGTGCTTTACACTTCGATGGGGCGAAGCTCATGCCATACTTAGATGATTCAAACGCCAAACGATCCAGAATGAGTTGCATGCCCAGAGGATCGTCACCAATAAGGCGATATTATCAGTATAATCTAAGTCGGTTGCGCGCTCACCCGGTAGAAACTCTAGGCCAAAATGTTGGAAATCTTTTAAAGTATTCGAGAGAACGTCTTCGATTGCGAAGTTGAAGAGGAATGGGGACATAGGACAGTCCTGTCGCATACCGCTATTGACAGCGAATTGCGAAGAAAGCTTGCCATAGACTTTCACTCTGCTGGATGTATGTAGGTAAAGTGCTCGTAAGATGGCGGTATATTTCTCCGGCACCCCGTTCTTCAGGAAGCAACACCATAAAGCAGGTCGATCAACGGAGTCAAAAGCGGCACGTATGTCTAGGAATGCAACGATAGTGGGCCTGTGATAAATGTGGCGATGTTCGAGGAGCTGGCGGAGCTTTAATATGTGATCCACGCATCCGCGGCCGGGACGGAAACTAGCTTGTTCTACACGGTAGTATAATTCACGTATTGGGGGTAGTCTGCGAAGCAGAATGGATGCCAATAGCTTAGAGGCAACCGAAATAAGACTGATCCCGCGATGATTTACACATGAAATGAGATCACCTTTATTGAAAATCGAGACAATAACTGATTCACCCCAAGAGGAAGGCACATACTCATCATGCCAGATTTTTGAGAACAGCGCGGTCAGCTGGTTAGTGATCGCCACACCATCGTACTTGAACAGCTCCGGAGGGAGTCCGTCTGAGCCGGCAGCCTTGAACCACTTCAATAGTCGAATCTCGAGGCAGACTTCTGCTTCCCTGGGTAGATTCAGTGGGACAAGCCAGGGTGGACAACAAAGTATACTGCACGCACTGATGGATGGTGGAGACAACTTGCATTACGAGTGAAAGTGCTTGGCCCAGCGGTCTATACGCCTCTGTTGGACGGTGATCGGACTCATCCAACTCGCAAGTGACCTCACTGACACCAGGCTTTCTGAGGCCAGTGGACCGAATGAGTTGGAAAAGCCTGCGAGTGTTACCAGAGAGGAGAGCTATCTCCATCTCTAAAGCACGCTCAGACCATCATACCTCCCGATCCTTGCGTAGGCTTTGCTTGAGCAGCCGGTTGGCAGAACGGCGCAGCTCGTTGCAATCCGATTCCGCTGGGATATTTTTGCGACTTTCGAACAGCTCCAGAGAACGAGCAGAGATCCAAACCTTCAAGGGGCGTCGAGTTAGGTCGCAGCTTGATTGTCCGGAAATGGTCACCGCTTTCCGTATACAAGTCCAGTGTTGCTCCACGTCTTGCGATGGATTGCAACTGAGTGTGTATGCCAGTGAAGACTGATAGCTCGCCTGGACAGAGAAATCAGTTAATCGGTTTACATCAATCTGGTGGTGCTTCGGGACCCCAGAAAACACATACAGATTTTCGCGCAGACCAGTACATAGTCTGAGTCAACGAAGGTGGACCAAAAGGACCTGCAGTCCAGTACGGTGCCGCGCCATCTGAAGTTAATTGCAAGGTGATCAATTTGAGACCACGGTTGTGTTGAAGAGGGGGACGTCACGTTGCGGAACGCTTCTTCGTACGCCTGAAGTTGGTGCTCGAGAGAAACAGATGATTGTCTTCGCATAATGTGAGAAGCCTCTCGCCGTTATCACAGCGATTCTCATCGGGCGAGTGATGATCACCAAGGTGGCGTTCGTGTGGTAACAGGCGGCCAACCCGTGCATTAAAATCCCCAACAGGGATAACGACATCCGACATTCTAGTATTAGTCAAGAGCTCATGTAGATCCCGATAGGAGTCGTGCTTGACCGAGTCGCCACTGCAGTCAGTTGGAGCGTACACGGAGATCACAAACAAGTTGCTTCTCTCTTCGCGGTGCTTGTTGAGTCTACATGAATCTCGAAGTTGAACTGCACATAGTCGGCTGTTAATCGGGAACCAGTCCAGTAGTGCCGCCACGGCCTTGCCACTTAGGGCTATACCTACACCAGCCAAACCCGCTGAGGCTGCTTCTGGATCTCCAGAAAGACGCAGGTGATATCTGGCTCCGTGGTCAGTGGGGGATGTCAATGTAAGTACAGTGTTGGGAGCATGCAACCGGGTTTCTGAAAGGCAGCAGACATCAATGTCTAGGGACTCTAGGGTGCGCGCTAGACCGGCTTGCTGTCCAATCTGCATGAGTGTCCGAAACTTGAAGCATAAAGGGCTGCTGCAATGCTTTTGGGATTTTAGCTCAGCGCTGACGTTCAGACGGTTGACGATGAATCAGCCGTCCGTCATGCTAAGCTGCTGTCTTACAGGAGTCCTAATTCAGCCCATGTATCAATGAAATGGAACAACACCAGGGTGTTCCCAACAGCGATAGCCTTTCAGATTATGGACTACTGCAATTCACCAGTGATCCAAGTGAAGACTGCAACCTCTAGATAGATGATTGTTCAATGTTCCGCACACTCTGAAAGAAACTCCCAGTTGTGTAATCAACCGTATTTCAGTTTAACTTTTAAAAGCACAGGAAACAGACCAACTATTCGGGAACTTCAGACAGGACAGACAAGAGATCACCTGCAGAACGTACCGGGGACAATTGAAATGTACGGCCGGTTCGTCGGAGAAACCTGGGACTGCAGTTCAGGTTGATATGGTAGTCTCAAGGAATGCTGGCACTGTTGACGAGTGAACACCCTAGAAATTGTGCGCGTCGCTGTGACCGGAAGAACAGGCGTTAGAGTAAGTGCGAAAGATGGATCAGCAATCGACTGTACATAAAGGCTCCCGTCACTGACATAAATGAATCAGGTGTACTCATTCAATAAAAATGCACTCCCTGGCGCCAGTAAGTCACTCGGCCAGCATCTTTAGGCTCACTCACCATGCGGCTTCAAATAGTTATATATAGACACCGAAAAGACCCAAAAATGAGTGACGCACAAAGGTCTAACTATTGTGGAAATTATAACTATAGGTCTTTCGTACACACTCAGACGCACTTGCTCATCAGCCAAAAACAGATTCAGTCCACAAATAGCCAAAAGGCAAAACTTGCCCTGTTAACACCGTAACAGTGTGCATTTGTTCCTTCGACTGTTCCTGTGAAGGAGGATAAATGGGCCTCTCAAGAAGGTGCCTATCCAGTAGGGTGAGGGAACACCATCCAACTTGAATTGGGACTGGGCATCGTAAGGTATTTAATTCCCAGAGTCGTATACCTTGCCGACGCAAGACTCACTGCCGAGTCAAATGAGTCGTTTAAGGTAATGTATCAAGAGGCGGGAAAGCAATCAAATTGCGTGCGTAGATATATACCGCTTGCCGCTGAGACCATCGTGATCCGCGTGTACGAAACGGAGTGGTGCACTCGGAAAAGGTTCAGTTAGATGTTGGGATTGCCAAGTCCAAATGATATCGGACAACATCTGATCCATGGAGTAAAGCAAAAACTACGATCGTGATCTAACTGACAATGATTACCAGCGTCCATTTAACTCCGAAGGAAGCACACCTATCTTAATGTTTATTTCATACAGTATGATCCACACGTAATCGTGCAAGCCTGATGAGGTATCGAAAACGTAGATTCATCTGCACTTGTACATCTAGCTGAAGGTCTTCAAAGTGAAACTCAACAAAACATCGACAAACCATAACGTAAACTTAGAATGGCTATCCCATCGGTACATAGATATCCAGAGGTGCATATCCCGCCCATCTAATGTACATCACTTGCAGTAGGAAGCCAAGTAAACACCTGAGAGTCGATGTTACTTTTTAGCTCGTTGTGAATTGACGTAGTTCGTTACGGAGCTGTTCTCTCCCCAAACCAGCTGCGAAACCCTCCACTTCGGAAGCGGTCCCAGTGGTCGAAAGGTAGAGGTTTGCTTCAAAGCATACTGTGGCCTGAATCGAGATTGCGTGTCGCAACCCAGATACACGGCCAGTACGCAAAGACCCAGCAGTCAAGGTAGCTCGCTCTACCTTGATGTTCCCGGGTTAACGCGGTGAAGAGCAAATAGGGCACATAACGCAGCCTACCGTGTAAAGCAACAGGATAATGAGACAAGCTGAGCTGACTGTTGTTCGATAGGTTGGGAAAGGAATTTTAACATTTCGTATGATATCGGAACGTCGTCAGAATATGCTAGCACAAAAACATACTTGCTGTTTTTATAAAACTTGAGGAGAAAGAGCAACGGATCAAAGTCCTTATCCGTCAATTGAACAGAGCCCAGAGCTGGAATGCAAAAGCGAAGGATAGGCGTTCGGTAGACACACAAAAAATGCAAGTATGCGTTAATTTTGCGGACTATGGCCTCAGACAGTAGGAAGACAGAGACCGTAGAGTAAAAAGCAATAAAACCGAGAACCAGTAAACGGGAAAATCCCGAAAAGGACAAGAAATTTAACCGAAGGTCCAAAAGGATTTGATTCCTTAGAATGCAAGGATGGTAGCGGCGAGCAGAAGAGAGGGCGATACAATGTACAAACAGAGTGCAGAATTTGGTGCATCGGATATGAATCAGTTCCAGCAAACTGTGCAAATAATGCCCACTTCGAACGACTGTGGAGAGTTAAGCGTCAATTTCTAATTGGGTTGCACCTACGCCCCAACTGCTCTCCGAGGTAGGTAAGGGCGGCCGTGCAGTAGTATCTCAGTACATGTGTAACGATGGAGTGCATGTGACAATGAAGTACCAGTACGAGCATTTGTGAACTGCAGTTGTTGATGAGGAGGGTGCCTCCATAGAGACGTAGCGAAGGAGGAGATATTTTCGGCACAGATGGTAGTTCGATACCAAGTGTGAACGGTAAAATGTTCAGATAAGCCGATAGTGGAATATTGCAACATTGCTCTAAAAAATCGAAAACAGATTTGCGCCATCTGTCATATTTGCCTGCCGTCTGTTCCTTTGCGCCTTTGCATACACATCACCCTCTATTGCAGTCCCCCGTGAATATAATGTACTGTCGTCCATAAGGTGTTGTACATCGGCCATATCATTGCAAATGGAATTATGGCCCAATATAAGAGCCTGTGTGACCGTACTTTTCGACTAGCATTCATGATTGCATTGAGACCACACATACTATCATGTGAACATCTTGGCTCTTTCATGCATGTCTCAATGTGAACACCACGGTAAGTACAACAAGACGCCTCATGTTTTCAGAAATACTTCATCACGGTTCACTCTCAGACAGCAGGGTTTGGCAAGTGGAAAAATACCATTCGAAATTCCGGGTCACATCAGTGGTGCGCCTTCCAAAGGATTCCTGTCGGGTTTCGACCCCATAACTTCCGGATGCCAGCAGCTAGTGTCACTTCGCCATGGGTGACAGCCGCGGACCTGCGTGATTGACAGTTGACTATGTTATAGCCCAGCTCATCTTCCAATGTCACGCCAGTTACGAACTGTGCAGATATGATGAATTATTATACCAAAATCCCCATCACTCATTAGCAACAGCAAGTTTTCCTTCCTAAATTATCCTAATCCAACGGGACTTGTAAGGGCATTGCTTTTTACTTTTTTTATTTCATTGTTCCAACAGTAAAAGTGCTGATGGGATTTTTGAACTGATTCTGAGAACCAGAGAGATGGAATTCGTAGTAATGAGATCTGTGGCCATGCATTCGACAGTGCAGCTGCTATAGCGGGCTACCGATAGGGTGCACAGAGACGCATCTACGTAATCAATCAAAAAGCTACATCTGTCCTAGGCACAAACCATTCCCTGAATCTGGGTTGTGTATATGCAGCTTCTGCAAAGGTTAACTCAGTTACATTTTTAGTATAACGGGCCGGTCATTCTCGTTCTTTTCAACACCCACATATCGCTGGAACGTCCTGATTCAATTGACCGGTCTAAGTATCAAGCGCGCTGTGGAAACTGGGTGGAGGAGTCGAGCAGACAATGTAAATGTTTTGGTGAAGTAATACTCGGAAATCATCACTGCTCTGGGACAGCTCAGAGGAGAAAATGCGATCACAATATCGGATTTATGTTTAATCTTCATCTGGGCACTGTAGTTTCCGTTTATTTCGTTTCCCAGTCTTTGGAGATCTTTTTCCCAAAAATCGACGATGCGCAGAAATACCTTCAAAAAAAGGACTGCATCTCTAGTAAAGTACTGTCAAGCTCACAGCGTTGGAAAGTTGCCTCTTTCAGAATAGAGAGAAGATGATGGACAGGGCAATGGATGGATCCATTGGGATAAGCACCGAGTGTCAAATCCACCAAAAGAAACGAATGGATGGTGAAAAATTGTCTGATACATCGATGGGATTTGATGTTGAGTTGAAAATGGAAATGCTGCCTGTCTTATGCAGTTTGACTGATAAAATATATCGTTGATTTCAACGAATTCATAACCTTTCAAACAAGTACGCCTTCTTTACACCGTCAAAGATGCTTAACGAAGCTGGGGAAAATAAATAACATGAGGAATGCTTTATAGAAAGGAGAAGATTGCAGTGTTTAGTGTAAGCTTCAAGTAATGACAAAGAGAATGGAACGCTTTAATTTTTCAGCTTCATACATAAATATCATCTTGGGGAATTTGCCCTGAATACTGTGATTTTGCTGCGCAAGTTTCTTACCCGAGCTATTAGCATTGCCAGCTGTGAGCAGTCTCAAGTCAAGCTTATAAAAAAGTACCTTCGATCAGCAATGAACCAGGCAAGGCTCATGGACTTAGAAGTGCACACTTATATAGTGAGGGGACTCGCTGATGGGCTGAATGTTGATGGTGTCATCGATAATTGTGCTGCAAATAAAGCCGAGGTGTTTTGGCAAATTTTGCTTACGAGTATCGTAATAATATGAATGTCTACACTTACAGCAGAAGACTAAAATTAGACTGATTGTTATTCTATGGATGGAAATGTTAAAGGGCTGTTCGCAATTGTGCAGGTTTACAGATTTACCACTGCCAGGAAGGAAGATGAGAAAAGCGGTTGCTACGCCAATGCCTCCATTTACAAAAATGTGAACACTAAACACAAAGACGTGAAAATTACTTTTAAAAATCGCTGCGTGAAAGATTTACGGTGTGAGATGCGAGAAATAAGGTTTCAGATGTTAAGCACGCGTTCGTTTGTATATTACTGACTATGCGAAAGTTTGCCATAATTGAAAACAATTAAACATACGCACAAAACCAAAAAAGCACGACCTTCCAGATCGCAGAGGTAAAAAGAGATGTCAAAAGAAAGTCGAAGGAAACCCCAAAAATAAATGAACCGTATTGAAGACTTCGCAAATCGGACACAAACTGTTGTTCCCTGTTGCATTGTGGAATGCTCGCCTTGTGGTTAGAATGCGACAACCTTACTTTGGGTCATAACGCTTTGTACCAAGCCTCGGCCATACTATCAGCAGAGTGGTTTGCAGTGCATTATCGATGTATATATATATATATATATATATATATATATATATATATATATATATATAGAGCATAAGAGGGCGGCGATGATAGTCAGGCGACTAACTTGGATAGATAGTCCTTAATGCCGATTCGGAAAGCGGAATGCTTATTCGGGTTAATTCGGACATTGGAAGTCCAGTGGATGGATCGAGCTCACCGCCTCCAGCACCCCTTCCGGAAGCCACCGAGTCAGCACCTGAACCGGCTTTACCGCCATGTTCGTAGATTGCCGGACAATAACGCCGCTCATCCATTGGCCAATACGTTACCGACGTTTGCGGACCTAAACAACAAAACACGAGAAAAATGAATACGTCAGTAAGGCGGTACAAATGCGCCGGCGACTTAACACTTAACTAACTGATAAAGGTAGATCACAATGAGTCGAGGAGTAGACCAATGAGCAGGAGTTCCGATGCGTAGGCGAACTAACAGTTTAAGGTCATTACTTAATAATGAAAACTGAAATGGACTCGGGAGGCAAAAAAATCCTTGGAGCAAAAAGGTTAGGAAATAGGTAACAAGTATAGATGAAAAGTGTGAAAAACCGTGGTCGCTGAATGAACATGGGTGGAATGAAGCACGAGAGTGAACAGAAAAACGTCTTTGAGTTCGCAAGTGAAGCATATCCAGTGGTACCTTGAACTAACGCTGGAGCCGATCTCCACGCTTTATCCACGAGCAAGACAGGTATCAACCGGAAATATGTCCCAGTTAATTCTTTCATACCGTTTGGCTATTCCATTAGTTGACCACCTTCCGGATTCATGAACCGTGGAACAATATTCGAAAACGATATACACAGGGATGGGGAGTTGACAGTTGTATAAAAGCACAATGTAAGCAATGTAGGCAGTTTAGTTTCAACGGACACTATAAATCGCAGCGGTAAAGGTTTCTGTTAGTAAATGCCGACTAGCGGGGAGGGGGCTGTTCCAGAAGTGTTCAATCCGTATCAACATCATATGTAGACAACTGATAGCAGGCACCCATGACCAACTGGAATCATTCTCTTTGTTTCCTAGAGACTCAGCTGTCGAGCCTAATGATCAAGGAGATACAAGACGCATTGTAGTGATATACATACAAGCTTTGACCGCGACGTGTTGATTTCCCTTTGTCATATAGAGGATTGCGCCTTTCAGGAGTCACAACGGTGCTGTCGATCCGTACAGTAATCTCCGCGATGATTGAGCTGCAAATGCTGATACAGTCACTAAAATAATCAGACCAATGGGCCACTGCCAGTAGCTGTAGGTAAATGGTAGACAATGACTTGCCTCTCCGGTGTGCAACAGTCGCTAATGCCATGAAAGTGCAAAGCACAAGCCAGTGCGCGTTCAGCACGCCGCATAAACAGCGGCGAATGTGCATCATTTGATCGCTAGCCAAATGTAAATGTGTCCTCAGTGCACTTTCATTTGCCAGTCAACCGTCCACGGGAATTTCCATTCGTTGTGTGCCACAGAACCATCCAGTGGTATTTCGCTCTTGAAATATGAAGGAAGATGGCCGAGACTAGCGGTACTGGTTCGTTTTAACATGGTAAACTCATGTTGCAACAACTACTCACATAGACTCAGGTAATTCACAAAAAACAGTGCCACAGCAGGCCTGCTGAACTACTCTTTAAAATGTTCCACCTAACTGTCTAGTCTATGCGGCTGAGAATGGCTTAACCGTCCATCTTTTGCAGCCCTTGTCTGACTAATTAACGAAATTTTTGGACCCTTGTTCCGGATGAGCTGGAACGGCACTACTGTTCCCAATAGCAGTGGCTTTCTTTATCTCATGGGCGATGTACACCAACCAATGTTCCCGGTCGATTCTATAACTCCCCGTCACTAGTTGTTTCAGGGTATTAAGGATACACGGAAAACCAATACTTATTGACACCAGTTTCCGTGCTTCGATCAAACTGACAGATGCCTCAGAGATCTACTCACATTTACGACGTTTCATGTATCATACAGTATCATGGCATACTTGAAACGGCTCACCAACCTCCGTCACCATTGAACTGGGGGTCGCGAGTTAAAATTACAAGTGCAAAGTGTTGGGGGACACAGACCCTAACGAGATTGGTCGGATACAATGTCCAGTATTCCAGCTCGAATATGAATGATTTGTCTTATGGTCGCGAGCTTAGTTTAACCAATGACATTTTGCCCCATTTAACGTTTCAAGGCCATTTGGTAGGAGGACTTTATGAACCGATAAAACCATACCCTCTGTACCCCGTTTGTCTTTTCGGAAGAGTGTTCCTTTTTGACGTCTTTCGAGGCTTTGAGGTCAGCATGTTAACGATTTATAGAACGCCACAACAGATTTTTTCCGGCGAAGGAGTAAATTGTTAGTAACTGCCAAAGATGCCCTTGTTCAATGAAAGAGCTTACCTTGATCCCGCACCAGCAACATAAACTATTTGCAGAATCACATGCGCGGCTTATTGAAACCCCGTCACAAAAATTGAATGTTTAATCATCCTCTACTGTCTGAAAGCAGTCAACCGTTGGTGCAATTTCAGGAAGCATCACAGAATTCAGCTATGACCTGGACGCCGTATGCACTTTCGAATCTTGGTTCAGAAGATTCCGGACAGAGTTCGCTGATAAGGATGATGATTCGAAATCATGGTTGCTTCTGAGAAGCATGGGACAAAGGAGCAAGAAAAAAGCTGTGAATTTTATTCTTCCTAAGAGCGCAAAATATTTCAAATACTAAGAAATCAGTGAGGCAAAGAACCTTCACCTGGTGTCAGCTGCATGGTTCGGGTTAATCCCGCTCCAGCAAATAGTTCGGCGGCAATGTTCCGGGACGTGGTGGGTTACCGCCTGGCAAGCGCTCGCCCTATAAAAAGCCACAAATGTCTGCTTAACAACACTGTGACGTGGCGAATGACTCGCCACTAAATAAAGTCGCTGACTCCCGCCTTACCGGAGGACCCTACCCATTTCACAAACGTCAACCACTCCAAAGACTTCATCTGAGTCCTTCCTATTTTGGCGGATTCACCGAACGCATAAACTCATAGTAATAGTAACAAATTCACCCACATACATACTACACATATATCCAGTGTGTACTAGTTAAATCGTAACATTTCTGTACCATTACCGATGTTACGTATTTGTAGTACCATGATCATGCCTTTGAAGGCGTGTCTCACGTCGTGTGTCTTACGCGACTAAAGCTAACCGTCAATGTGAGCGTTCCAGTCGCCTCAAGACTCAGAGATTCATACCCGTTTACTCAGTAAGATGAGACGGGATCCTTCGTGAAGCTGTGTCATCGTTTGTCGTACCTGAAACCCGATACCGCCAAATGTACTAACTTTTGCTCTTTCCTTAGACGCGATGGCTTAGCCGCAAGTTGCACGTGACGTTTGTTGCACGGTTCCTAGTCAACGCACGGATCGGCTAACGCATTATAGCCGCGAAACCAGACGAATCGATGAACACTCCCCTGAGAAACTAGTCGCGCTTACGAAGCACACGAAGCCGACTGACTATAGATTGACGCACGCTCACGTGACCCACGCAGGTCCCTACCAGCCGCAAATGACAGAGTGCGAGGCGGGCCGTTGGGAGTTCATCTACGACCCACAAAGGCCGAACATGTTTGGCCCTGCGATTAAGTTTGTGGGAGTTGTGGGCGTGCGGTTTACAGAAGACCATTGTTCACTTTGGCACGGGTGTACACTGACTTGGACTGACTGGAAGCTGCTGCGTTGTGGGTAGTGGATGGACTCCGCGCGGCGCAGTCCGCGTATTAGGGGTTCGGAGCGCATCTGGGATCAATTGACGTTCCCGCAACAGCACGACTGGACGGGAAGCAGTTCCTGGTCCCAGTAACGTTTATGATGCGACAAAAAGCACCCCAAGAAAGCACACTAATTCTTCTAGAATCGTCACCTTCAACAAACCCCCAACAACCTGCTGGCGGTGCGGTGGTTGGCGCTATCTCCAACTGTGCCCATTCAGAAAGCACCGCTGTCAGAAATGTCATAAAGGAGGACACAAAGATTATTATTGCCGAACAAACAATGGAACCTTTCCGAAGACAGTCCAGCCAGTTCGAAAAACCCGGACAAAAATCAATGCACAAAATAAATCCTGTTATGGCTACATGCGACACGGACGCAAAACACCAGCGTAGATATGTGGATGTGCATAAACAACTCTTGTGTGTCTCTGATATCACTTTATTGTCACAAAGCACATGGAAGATGAATGGTCAACCTTCTCTAAAGCTGATGAATCGCACAGCGCTGAATGCTTCCGACGGAGTACTGTGTTATTTTAGTAATGTGTAATTCTGTACCGTGTGTTACCTTACTAATCGGTCTAAGCTAAACCTTTTGGGCCTTAATTGGACCACAAAACTTAAGCTATTGTAAATCTCACTTAATTCTGTGGGTAATCAGTTGTGTCTTCAGTCTGTGAACACTTCTCCCGGTAATGTTCTGTCAGAACGTTTACGCCATACATCCGCTCATATTCCGGGATGAGCTTGGTTGCTGCAAGAATAACAAGGCAGTATCGTCCCTCCACCCCATGTAAAACCTGTCTTCCGACCCAAACGTCCAGTACCATATGCGGCGTTACCAAGCGTTGATCAGGAATTGAAGAGACTGCAACAGACTAGGATCCTTCAACCCGTGAGTTACTCATCATAGGCTGCTCTAATTGTGGTGGTTAAAAAACCAAATCGGAAAGTCCGAATGTGTGCGGACTTCTTCATCGGTCTGAATGCTGCTATTGAAAATCACTAATATCCGTTGAGGCTGCCGGATTATTTGTCCACAATGCTTAATCATGTCAAAGATTTCGCCAAACTGGACTTGTAGAATGCATACCTACAAGTGGAAGTTTCCGAGGATTCTCAACAGCTGCTGATCATCAGTACTCACGGTGGTCTGTTTTGATACACTAGCCTACCATTTAGAGTAAAAATGGCACCTGTGGTTTGTCAACAGATCATCGACACCATGTTACAAGACGTCACATCTATTGCAGTATATGTTGACGATATCATAATCATGAGCATTGACCTGGCGAACCTAGAGGAACGGATTGAAAACGTGCTAGATCGAATCCAAGATTATGGCTTCCGTTTAAGAAAAGTGTTTTTTACGTGGATTCGGTAAAATACTTGGGATGCATCATTGATCAACACAACCGAAAACCAGCCCCACTGATATTGAGGCCATTCAGTTAATGCCTCCACCACATCATGTGACAACGCTACGATAATTTATGGGATCGGTGAATCACTATAGTGCAACTTTGCCAGAAATGCATGATATACGGGGTCCACTGAAGGCATTGCTTCTCAAGAATTTCAAGTGGTGTTGGAGCACGGAGTGTAACCAAACTACTGATAAGATCAAAGTCATGCTATCGCCAGAGCTGCTGTTGACCCATTACGATCCAAAGTGAATATTATTGTTGCTACAGATGTGTCTAATTATGTAGTCGGTGTGGTTATATCTCACGACTTTCCTGATGGAAATGAGTAGACAACTGCTCATGTCGCCTGATCGTTGACGCCCACAGAACGCAACTATAACCAAATCAAAAATGAAGTACTGGTGATCATCTATGCCATTAGGAATGTCAAAAAATGCTTTGTGGCCGACATTTTAAACTGGTCACGGATCACAGGCTCCGACTTGCTATCTTCGGTCCCAAGAAGAGCATTCCCGTGTACTCATCGAATCACCTTCAGAGGTGGACCACAATACTTTTGGGATACGACTTCGAAATCGAGTACCAATTGAGTGGGAACATTGATTAGATTGATGCTTCATAACGCCTCATGGATAAAGATCGACAGGAGCCAGAGGACGTCGTAGTGACAAGCATCTCGATGGAGCCTGAAGTTCGTTTGGTTGTCGCAGATGCAATTAAAGCCATCTACGTAACAGCTTCCCAGATACGTGTCGCAACAGAATATGACCCCCTGCTGCATCAAGCGTTCCGGTTGCACAGACTAAAATGGTCACAGAAGATTGTAGGCAATGAACGGAAGCAGTTTCATCAACATCGCAATTCCGTTAATTGTCGATGGCTGTCTACTCTTTGTAGAACGAATGGTGGTTCCCAAGGAAGTTTAACCGAGGGTTATGAAACAGTTCCACATCGGACACCAGGGAATAAACCGTAGGAAGGCATTGACCAGAGGCTACATGTACTGGCCTCATCTTGATGTTCAAGTTGAAGATCGTGTCTACTCTTGCTCCAAATGTGCACTTGCTTCGAAGTCGCCAACGAAAGAAGAGCTCCAGTGTTGGTCGGATCCTGGGAAACCATGGTCAAGGCTCCATATGCCGACTGTGCAGAACCTGTTAATGGAAACAATTCCCTTATACTGGTTGACCTCTACAGTAAGTGCCCAGAGGTACTGTAGATGCCATCCATTACTGCTTCAGCGACCATTACTGCATTTCGTCAGGTTTTCAGTCGCTCCGGGTATCCGGACACATTAGTGACTGACAACGGAACTCAGTTCACTTGAGCGATTTTCGAAGACTTCTGCAACCAGGTCATCTCCATACTATCTACAGTCGAACAGCCTGACTGAGCGATTCGTAGACACCTTCAAGAGAGCATTACCGAGGGTGAAGAGGGAGGTACCGACGCTCGAGATCCTTGAGACTTTTCTTTTTGCCTACAACTCCAAACCCGTAGATGCCTCAAGGTAGATCTCCGAATGAAGCGCTGATGCCGCGGAAACTGCGATCCCGTCTTGATTTGCTTAAACCTTCTGAGAGGAACAGCCTGAAATGGAACTGCAAAATGCAACAGCAGTTCAACAGGAAACAAGGTGTTTGAACGATGTTTTTTTCCAAAGGGTTGGTAAAGGACTACCACAACAATTGATTGATAAGCCCAGAGAACTCCAATTCCTAACGAGAAGATAGACGGATCGACGTCGGAAATCAGTGATTCCGATTCAAGTGAACTCTAAGCTGAAAACCTATGCGATTCATTCAAGAGGGTGAGGAACGCAGACCCTAACGTGGTCGGTGGGATACAACGTCCATCATTCTAGCTCGAATATGACTGATTTGTTTCACGGTTAGGACCTTGAGTTAACCAAGGTCAGTTGGTAGGAAAACTTTATAAACCAATGAAAGCGTATCCTATGTACCTCATTTATCTTCTCGGAAATGTTTCTTTTTGACCTCTTTCAATTTCGGTTTTTAGTCGAGCGTTTGGGATTTGAGGTCGACACGTTCGCGATTTATAGAAGGCCACAACAAAAAGGTTCAAAGCAGGGCGCTTTGTTGAAGCGGATAGAATGAGGGCCAGAAGAGCGCGCACTAAAAAGCGGTCAGAACCCTGGCACGTACTCAAAATTTTAAACAGTTAGTCCCCTTCAGTAGTTTGAACAACGAAATGAGAAGACAAATATTGGCAGATGCTAGCATTTCGTATTATCTCATCAGTACCAATACAATAACAGGGAAATCCCTTTATATGTCTTACAGGGCACAGTCAAGCCAATCAAATTTATGGTTGTGGTCATTGTTGATGGGATTAGGTCCACGGCAACCGCAGGTTGACATGTTGCCGTGGACATAATCCCAACAACAATGACCACAACCATAAATTTGATTGGCTTGACTGTGCCCTGTAAGACATATAAAGGGATTTCCCTGTTATTGTATTGGTACTGATGAGATAATACGAAATGCTAGCATCTGCCAATATTTGTCTTCTCATTTCGTTGTACTCAAAATTGACCGATATGTGTCATTTGTGGTGAGTTTGGGTCCAGGTCATTGGGGAATCCGGTAGGCGCCAGGTGACATGTAGTGAACGCCTGTACTGGAAAACTAATATAGAGACTGTGGTCGGCACACAGCTGCAAGAGTCGATCGCCAACATTTAGCCCGCGTGCATTGATTGCGAAACGATGGAGGCCACGGTGGTTTGACTAGCCCACCGTCAGTGTCGTAAGTAAAGACATGATAGGTAAAAGAGCACGGCCAAGCCATGGTCCTATTGCGTATACGCTCTTTCGTTCACATCAAGAGTGACGTGCGTTGCCTGACAGACAGTGGAATGTGACAAGCAATCACAACCATTTTCACGATACAGCGCTCTGAATGTTAATATATGGGGATGCCATCTGGCATTTATTTTTACGACATACAATACTGAATGGAAGCTGGAAGAACGACTATGTTATGATTCCGTAGCAATGATATTGTACAGATAGATAAGTTCGATCTCCGTGTTCCGCCTAGGTAGCATCAGTTCGCGTACCGTAAACTCGACAGCACAAAAAATAGGATGTGAGTCACTGTGACAGAGGCGATGACAATAATATTGGCCGTATCTGCCCACTAGCGTCCACGGGACAGTTGTTCACAACAATGCATGATTGCTGAGTGATTTTTACTCGTCGCTGATGGGTAACATACACTTAGGTGGCGTAAATAGCAATAAGCGGAAATGGAAACGTCCGCGCCAGCCTGTCATCGGTTGCCACATTAATACAGCCGAACCGCGTATTACTTGCTGGTTCTGCAACTAGTGAAAAGAAGATCCGAGATGATCATTCAATGACATCGCGCGATGGCACAGAGAAACTGGCTAAAAGAGATGGTTGGCGGCATCCGGTTCCAGGTATGCCTGTCACCGCAGCCTCCTTAAGACAGCCAAAAGACGCCTGCATCTATAGAGGGACCATGGGGAGCTTGCGCTGGAACACCCACAGCTCCATCCACACACCCAATATCCAGTGAAAACCCGAACGAATAAAACCGGGAGGCATGCGGATAGAAGCCACATTTCATCAACGGAGTCGGCCCACACTCCAACATGCACAAAGGCAGCATTCATGTCTATCCAAGTAGGGAATCATGCATACCAGACGTACACAAAGAGTTGACTGGGCCGTAGTCTGCTCCACACTGGATGGAACCACTCTTTGAGCCTAACACGGCCACGAGGACCGTGCACCCCGCCCCCGTAACTAGTAATTGAGGTGTAGGGTGTTAGACAGGTGGGCACCTTGTCAACATACACATCAAGCGCAGCCACACCGGGAATATCAAACAACCAACATACAAGTCGAGGGAAAGCAAACGTAAAATGGACAAAATATGTTGTGGAGTAAAAAAACTAAGCAAATCAAAGAAAGTGGAATAAGTTTTATCCAGATTAAAAATATCTAGTTCAAGTCGGTTTAGCCCAAGTGCGGTGAAGAGTATCATGTATGCAACACCAACATCAGCATGAGGCACCGCTAAAAGAGATAATCGTGTTGATACGTGTCCTTTGGGTGGATAGAGGTATGGAGATCGATTTCGGCAATAGTCCGAGACACCAATGGATATGGTGTAGTTGCAAATTTAATGAGGCATTGTGTGTGGTATCGTTCATTACTTTACTAACCAAATTCAAAAATCGTGATGTGGTTCCTCCCTAATCTTTCATGCATTTGCATATTGTTGTGTGAAATAGTTAACAGGCAACAAGTACTCAGTGCTTCGCGTGTAAAAATTCTAAATCAAAAGACTCAAAAGATAGACTTCTGAAGAGGATTTGTGCTCTGACGTGAGTAACAAGGAAACGATGAGTCCATATGTGTCCAAAATATTTGGTATATTAGTTTGCTCACTAAAATGCCTCTTGATTTGTATTTCCGAGCCAGTCTTGAACATCTGCGAATACCCTAGTCGTCTGTTAAGTCACTGAAAAATGTTATACATGATATCGGACGAAATGGGCAGATATTAAACAACTTCATCGCGTACTTACCCACATTTCGTTTGGTTACTTGACGGTAGCTCACTGCAGAAGTCCCGAATTTTCCGTTATTAGTCACCACGACAATATCCAGCTCCCCTTCCCCAAGCGGGGTAATTGCTGTGATACGACTTGATGAAAACCACTGGGCAGTAGGACCGACGTCGATCTGATTTATGAAAACATGCGTCAAATCACTTGCGGTCTGCCCAAGGTTTTCCCCCCGTATAGTCAGTTTTGTGCCCGGCGTTCCTTCATTGGGAGAAATCCCAGTAACATGTGGTGCAGGTCCGACTAGTTCCGGCATTGCTTGACCAATGAAAGATGCAAGTCACTAAAAAAATACAGCGCGAGATGTAAGCTGAAAATACATGTCACTTAAATTGAACAGTGCACTGACGGTTAACTATTATAGAAAAACCGGCAGTAAGAAGGACAAGGTAAAGGATCGCGATGAGGAAGTAAAAGGCAAGTGAAAACCGATCAGAGCCAAGATATTTGTACTCGAATATAAGTGGCACATCGTGGATATCACCATAAGGTTTTACAAACGGAAGGATTCAAGGACGAGAGGCTGACTGTGATCAACCGTTTTCAGCCACTCGTCGTTATAATTTTATAAGTAAGCGAAGAAGGGAATAAAGGAGGCAAAAGTCGAGCAGATCATTTGAAATGATATACATAACATATTTCAAAAGATTACAGAAGAGTAGTAGGGGGAGTTGAATGGTATAGGTAGAAATTCGTCGCACCTAGACTCAATCAGACAGCCATCACACGCCCGGAAAAGCACTGTACCCGCGTTTCATCCTTTCGGGAATCGTCAGCAGTGCGCATTCCATCGGACCCTAGTAGGGATCGGACCCGCAACTAGACTGTTGCCAGTCCGTGGTTGAGACCACTGAGCTACGGGGGACAGCAAAGACCATCGTGAGGAAGTTACTAGATGTGATATAGCGCCACTCACTATCCACTGACTTGCACGTTACTGCCGTGCAGAGGACAGGGTAGCCCCCTCACTAAGCGACGAGCATACCAAACTTAAGCCGCCAATTAACTTATGGCATTATAACCAGTTTGGTCTGCGTACTGATTACAGAAGAGTAGTAAGGGGAGCTGAATGGTATAGGTAGAAATTCGTCACATCTAATGGTCGTCACATTTCTAAAGGTCATGGAGCGGCAAATAATAATAATCTTGAAAGAGAAAATAGAGAATTGATGTTCAGATGATACAGATGGCTTCAGCGTTTTTGGTTCTAGTTGGCAAAAGGAACTGCAGTGTCTGGATTAAACTTATTACTGGAACAACCGGGTACAGGTAACACAGTTGATCTCAAGAAAACGGAGGCGCAGGCCTTTAAATCACCTATATCGAGTGTTTAGAGCCAACGGTTATCCGAGAAATATCATCAGAAGAAGCTTAAAGAAACGAATGTCTCAGTAACAGCAGCATCAGTCACCTGAGCAATCACACAAACGGATAGTGCTCCCCTACATCAACAACGTCTCCGAACTAACAGGTAGGTTGCTGCAGTCACATGGAATCTCTCTGGCTCACAAGCCAAGAGCGACCCTAGGAAAATTGATCTCAAGATCCAAAGAAAAAGTTAATCAGGTCGACCAATACAATGTCATCTACCAGATAAAATGTAGCGACTGCGATAAAAACTCCGTCGGAAGAAAGCTTTGTACACGAATCAGCGAACACAAGGCGGCCGTCAGAAGACATGATCCGCACTCATTGGTTTCTGCGCATAAAGATCAAGAAAGCCACCATTTCGATCCGGAGAGTGTAGAGATCCTAGCAAGTGGAAGTACAAAACACGCGAAGGAGTTTTTGGAGGCCTGGTACTCTACAACGAATTCAATCAATCGACACATCGAACTAGAAGCAGTATAGGCAACACTAAAGGCGAACGACCGCCAACTCGAGCGACTGAATCCGGTGGAACGTGACTAGACAACCAGAACTGACGACAGACCCGCTCACAAAAGCAAGCAGAGAAAGGCCACGAAACACAAGGAGTCAAGGTCAAAGGCCATCTGCCCATCAACCAAACTGAATGCGGATCGAAATCCTAACCAGCAGGATTGCTCATTTCCACGGGTGGTAGAAAAACGCACGCACATCACGCTCAGCGCACTCTCACTGAGGCTCCTCGACGCTAGTGCACGCCACTCCACTAGGCACTGATGTCACCTCGATTGGTGACAAAACGTTTGCAACAAAATTGCTAAGCTCAGCGAACAGTTCAACCGCCAAATATGGCATTTTAAGGGACTGTTGCCGATAGGCATCCAGTGGGTGGTGCGAAAAGGTAGCTGCAGATGGTTTGACCCCAGTAGCATTACGGCTGCTGTTAATTAAGTTGCGAACTATAGAAGGTTAGTGATGAAGGTTGAAAGGGGAGTAAGAGAAACATGTGGAAAAGAAAGGAGGCGCTAGCAGTAGCACATTTTCGCTTATCCGCGCTGCTCTATGCGACAAACAAGGCGACCCTTGATAGTCTGCGCGGCAGCCGATGCAGTTACGGGTTGTCGAAATTGTCATGGTTCTATGTGGGCTGAGATACTGAACAGACCTAGAGAGGATGACGATCAGAGTCCTCAACCAAAGACTTGCTCAAAAGCCTGTCTACAAGGCAAAAGGAAGATGGCAATGATTTGGTTTTACAGAAATGGAAGCCATCACATTTCAAACACCAAGCTGGAGGACCAGGAGACTGTGTTTGTCTGAGCCCTAACCATTGATTAACCTGGTAGGAGTAGCTCTCAATGGCCCCGGGGGCACCATCCAGTATAGACCTATGGATCAAAGAGGTACGCAAACGTCCTGTCTTGTTGCGACGGTCTAAATGTCTCCGGTCGTCCAATGGTTTGACCCATGCTCCTCTAACAATAAACAGGTTAGATGTACAAGCGTGCTCTGCGGAACCCATGCTGCGCCCGGAGAGACAGCGCACAAGCCCATGCAGTGAACGTTGTGGGCACACTTGACGATGCTTTTCAAAATTTTAGACTAGTGACGTCACATATATCGGCCGATAATTTTCAGGATCGTGCCTATTCCATCCGCTATACCTGAGCATTACAAACCCTACTTTTCAGTAAGGTGATAAGTGGGTGTCCTCCAGCGATAGCTGGAATACTTGGTGCATTGGATTGGCAATGTCTTCAGTTATCCGCCTGAGAAGTAATGGGTGTAATCCATCATGGCCTGGTGTAGAGTATGGGTTCAGTTCGAGGAGCAGTCTTATGATTACCACAACTTGTCCGAGAAATCAATACGCTGGCAGATGGTTGCGGAGTAACGACGGTTCCACGGAGTAAACTGAGCAGTACTGCGAAGCTAGTAGGTGAATCTTCTCATCCTCTTCGTAACTTACTGTCTCTCGTGTGGGAGGATAGAGCAGCAATGCCACTGCCGGTCTTGTTTCGCTTTAGGTACGAGAAAAGTTTCTTCGCGCAGGTCTTGGATTGCAAGATCAAGTTATGTTTGTATTAGGCCCTTTTCTGGAGCTTTTTTGAGTCCACAGATTTCCGATCATTTCGGACTTCAACAAACCTGTTATTAATTGTGTAGCTGACCAGCCACCCAGAAAGCTGTCTTTCCTTTCTTTCTTCGCTACTCAACCATTATTCGAGTAGCTGAGCTTCAATGCCATCTCCTCATATAAGCAGTACCAGCTAGTAAACCCTACTGATCTCGGTTTTTAAGACTTATTACCACCACACTTCTCCCACGGTTTTGGTCTTGCAAACAAGCCTAATTCATTATGTCCTGACAAAACCAAATCGCCCTCGATAGACAAAGGGCGGTGGGTGTTCCACATCGCGAATGACACGTTTAAAAAACTAAACAATAACTGAACCACAAGAGTGCTCCACTTCAAATGCTAAGCTTATTTCAGAGCTCACTGATAAAAGCTGCTCACTGGAATCGCAAAATGCTGTAATGCAAAATGCAGATATTTTTTGAACGCCACAAAAATAATCCATTATCCTTGGATTGCATTAGTAACCGATTCTGCGCTGTTGAGGAAGGTAGAACAATTAATTACCGCCGTTACATCCGAGGTATACGAGGGATCCCATGACGGACAAATTCAATTTAGATATGGTTTAAAGGACTGCACTGAAGTCTTGCAATATGTCCGAGATCAATTGCAAAGGTTTACGCCTATAAAAGAAAACACCAATACATTGCTGTCCTATCATAATTAAATTTTTTGCTAAGAATCGATAAAGCAATTATTTCGCAGTCAGTCTGTCAGTACCCAGTAGACTTAATTCAGTGGCATGGTTAGCAGTCCAGATCGCACACCACTGCAACGTGGACTCCATAGTCTTGAGCATAGTACAATAAAGAAAGATATTCATGTAGCGGACCCCTTTACCAAGCCACTGAATAAAAACACTAAGCAGAACATCTACGACCTCTGGTGCGGGCCACGACAGTTCCCATCAACCAGTAGCTACATCGAGGGCTAGTGCTCCAGATCCTATCGCAAAGACCTCTACGCATCCACCGATCAATGTCGAAATCTCGAATTCTGATACTAGTCTTCTCTATCGATATACTGGCTTTAGTAAATACCATTGGCAAAGAAAAACTAGTGGAAACAGCTTAAATCACGTTATGAAGGTGACACCGTCAAATGTCAACTGTTCCAAATTTTCAACAACTGATACCCCAAGTAGTTGACTACGAAAAAAGCGACAATTCCTAAAGTACTAGGGCAAAACCCTTGCTAACATAACACAACATGCCATCCCGATTCGCGTAGTCAAACTTGTCCCTAACTAACCCTATTTGTTCACCTCCACGCCACCATCACTCGGTTCCGCCTTCGGACTGCAACAACTGTAAACAAGGTAATAACGCTGAAGATCACGGAATATCGAACAGTAACACATCCTGCCAGACCCCAAACATGCATGACCCCACACAGTTCACCACCGAACTATAATCCTTTTTATTGGATGCGGGAGTGGTACCACAACCAATTTCAACACTAATGCATCCAATACAAGCAATCTATTTTTACTCTTAATACGGTTCTGTACACATGACACGAATAGCTCATTAAAAAGACGGGAACACCAGTCTTCATGCACCAACCCACACTTTTAAACCAGCAATAGCAGTAATCCCAAACGAAAAGACAACAGACTAGAGACTGAATTTGCCCCTTCATCTCCGTCTTCACTTCCTATAACATAATGGTGCTCCTGAATTCTCAACCTTACCTAGTGTTATCAATAACCCCACTAACAACCACATACCGTTTTCCCTACCTCTGAGCAATGCGAGATCCATTAACAATAAGCTTCACAGTTGAGCATTCCAAGTTCAATATTCGTCACTGAAACATAGAGCTCTACTAATACATCGGATAAAACTCAAAGAATCCCCAAAAAGAAACTATTTTGTAAAGAAGTGGAGGCAGATGTATTATATATTTGTATTGAACATTCACAACGATGCCTTGTGACCATCATGAGTCAGAAACAGCCTCTGAATCCCTGTGGTTACTTGTTACTAGCACTTTCCATCATATAGTTCGCGGATGCATCCACAACCTTCCGAATGCCCCAACTGGTGATGTCACTAACTGCTCCGCATTACATCTTGTATCAATACTACTGCAGAAACAGAAAATAATAGCTGGAAACTTCAATCTTCCGAAAATATCTTGGTCACCAAATCCATATTCGTTGGCACATACAGATTTCCTGTCAACTGTTATGGCTGGAAGATGGACACAATGCCTACTAGGTTAACGAACGTACTTGACTTAGTATATACATTAGGAAATGTTGACGCAAACATAGAGCTGCTGGACGTTCTCCCTGGTAGTAGGATTTTAGAGGTAATATTTAAGGTGCTAATCCCAGTAGTTCACAAGCTACATAGCACAGCGTAATCCGGAAAAGCACCAGACGTGTTTCGTCCTATTGGGGCTCGTCAGTGGTGCGCATTCCGTCGGTCCCCTACTGGGGATCGAACCCATGACCACTAAAAGCCAACTAGCCAGAAGCTTAAGCCACAGAGCCATGGGGGACGTTGGCTGAGCTACATAATTTGCAAGCAAACTGGGATATAGCACCACCTATCTTCTACTATCAGCGACAGTGGCTTGCCTGCGGGGTGATGACGTAAAACAGCAAAAGATCCCCTTTTACAACGTATCATTGAGTACCTTAGCACTGGTACTGGTGGGCTTGCACACCCCTTGGACACCAATGGTGAGCAGTTTCGTAAAAAGAAGTTAGCGTTGACCACCGTCGAGGGCTACTTGATGTTACCTGACCAAGTTGTGGTTCCTAAAACTCTACAGAATAAGGTTTTTAGCCAGTTCCACGAAGGTCACTCGGGAATCAGTCGTATGGAATCCACAGCCTACTGGCCATTCATGGACCAGAATATTGAAAATGTTGCTCGTTCTTGCAACAGCTGTGCTATGGCAGCAAAACTACGCGTCAAATATGAGCTTCATTTTCGGCAAACCCCAAGTGGACCATGGTCTCGCATTCATATTGGTCTTGTTGGAGCCCTGGATGGATTCTACTATCTGGTAATTGTCGACGCTTACACAAAGTGGCCCAAAATTTTTCAAATGAGACACGCAACCATTTCCGCTGTTTTGTTATACCTACGCCATCTTATCTCAGCATTTGGTGTCCCACAAACGAGTACTTCAGACAATGGTTCTCAACTAAGTTTTTAAGAATTTCCGGACTTTTGCAACCTATATGCTATCGAACACATACGTACTCCAGTCAGTCAGTTCAGTCACACGGGTAGGCTGAAAGTTTTATTGATACGTTTAAGCGAGCATTGAGTAAAATGGAGGGAAATCACTGACAAATGTTGGCAGATTTACCAGACGACACCAAGTCCAGCAGTACAACAAAACGTATCTCTACCCGAAGAGTTTCTAGATAGGCCTGTCAGAACTGTCCATGATGCTTTGAAACCATCACTCAACCACGGAGAACGAAATGTTCTAATGGAGTTAGCATTCAATCGCCATCATGAAGCACGCCCCCGGGATTTCCTGCCTGGTGATAGTGCATACGTAAAGAATTTTCGTGACGGAAGATCATGCTGGATTTCTGGCTGTGTTGTTGAACGTAGTTCAAGTGTTTTGTACATAATACGTGTGGAGTCGACCATATGAACTAGATATGTAAACCAGATCAGATTGTTTTGAAGTGTAAGCCGTCCAAAAAGCAAGGGGCCTCATTACCGTTGAACATTTTACTGAATACATATAAAATTACGTCTTCTGAAGAATCTGCGTCCGAACGGAAACCGGGACAACAGATCAAAGATACTCAACAAGAATCAGAGCCCCAGTGCAGTGACTCGAGATTAATCCAAGACGTAAGGCATCCGAATCCAATGTAGCATGCTGTTCAGCTTAATTTTAGAGGAGGGAGGTGATAGATGAACTCACACATGATGTCTGTTCACTGTCGGTTTGCCATTTGTTGTCTATGTCCTTTCATGTGATTAGTTGTTTGATCCTTGTGTATTCTGTTAGCACATGCATGTCAGTTTTCAAGACAGCTCGTCCCCGTGCGTGCTGCGTTCTTGTTCCGTTCGGAGTGGGTTGCTTTTAGCAGTGTCTGACGTTATAATAAGGTATTACCGTGGAAGTGGAAGAGCTGTTGTTGGTTTTATGACGAGGAATTGCGACGAGTTTCTTCGATTTACACCCAGTTCGCAGAGCATTTTCGTCTTCGCTTTTGAGTCACATCGCTTGTATATGTGTGCTCCTAGTGGTCCATTCGTGCACTTGCAATGTTGTTGGAAAGTTTCCGGTCTTGTGAAGTCTTGCTAGCATTTTTCGCGTTTTCTGGGTGAGTAAGTGTTCCTTTGTATTCGTAGGCAACACGTTTCTGTTGTGTAGTAATATAGGTTGTGACAAAGTGGATAGTATAGAAATGTGCTATTTTTAGACAGATACTGGTCTATAGGAAAATGTATCCCAGTCGGAAGATCGGACCAACAGTTGAAGGTGTGTGAAATTAATTCCCAGAATGGAATATTGTGGGAACGGGTCCGGATTGAAAATTACCGTTATACTAAAAATAAAGTACAACATTTTAAGGTAATTATTCCAGTAGTTCACAAGCTACATAGCACAGCGTAATCCGGAAAAGCACCAGACGTGTTTCGTCCTGTTGGGGCTCGTCAGTGGTGCGCATTCCCTCGGTACCCTACTGGGGATCAAACCCATGACCGATAGAGGCAAATGCTAAAAAGCCAGCAGCTTAAGCCACAGGGCCATGGAGGATGCTGGCTGAGCTACATAACTTATAAGCTAACTGGGATATAGCACCACCTATCTTCCACTGTCACTGATAATGGTTTGCCTGCGAGGTGATGATGTTCCCTCGCTAAACGCTATATCCATAGCACTTGAAACCATGAGAGACTATTTTTATAGCCTTTTGTTTTGAGATCGTTTTTGGAAAAAGGAGAATCGCAACATAAACACCATTGGCGTCGGCTCCTCGCCAGGTCAGCAAGTGCATCCAACCAAACGTGTTCATCGTCCTTCGCACACCAGCCCGGCAGTCGGGAAACCAACCGACGCCAAAATCAAAGTGAAGGACTTCATCCCTCTTCACCAAATCATCGGTTGGTCAACCCACCTCTTTTTCCATCCATACCCGCGGCAAACAAACAACGCACGAGGTAAGAGTTGGTATGCTAGCATGTGGAACACGCGGCTCAGACATCGGAGCCTGGTGCATGATATAACGGTGCTAAGTCGTTCACTCGCTCTTCCTGCACCAAATGCGCGAAGCGAACACATTCCTTGTTAATGCGGTGCTCCCACCAGACATAAGATAAGCTGTGAAGGCAGCGATAGTTGAACGTAACAAGCCTCTTTATGACCGTCGACTTTGTGGGACAGGTTTCGTAACCGCACAGGAGGGTTTAACATACGGTTGCATTGTAAACTCTGGCCTACTGAGTGTGAGTGATGTCACGCCGGCGCCATAGGTGCCGGAGATTGGTAAAAGCACCTCGAGCGGAGTTCCACTTCCCAGCTAGGCTATCTCTACCTGAGGTGTCTAAACAAAGACGAAACCGTCGGTCGTGGGGTGCAGGGATGGGTGAGAGCCACACCGAAACCCTCCACTTCGGTGATGGTCCAAGTGACCCTATTGACAGAGGCTGACTTCAAAGTCAACCGATGCCAAGATGAAGATTGCGTGTCGCAATCCAAGATACAGTGGGTGCTCCAAAACCCGAAAATCTACTTCTAACCGCTGTGGCAAACACTGCTCGCGGAGCTCAATGGTCTAGTTATCATGGCGATACCCGTCAAGCACCATGCGCCGAGTTCCACTCCCAGCTCGGCTATCTCTACCTGATGAGTCTAAACAAAGACGAAACCGTCGATCGTGGAGTGCAGGGATGGGAGAGGGACACATCGAAATCCACCACCTTGAGCCTTCGTTGTACTGTTAATGACCACATATTCAATCCAACGGACGCTAATATAGCTGCCTAGATATTTAAATTTTTGGACGACTTTTAGCTGATCACCGTCAAGGGTCAGCGCAGGAGTGGTTCCCTGCCAATCTTGGAGGATTTTGCACTTTGAGGGTGCAAAGCATAGCCCGAAACAACTGACAGCCATAGTTGATTTATCCAATGCAACATAGCACGTTCGGGAACTATCACGGAGGAGCGCAATATCGTCCGCATACTCTGAGTCAAGAAGTCCGTCACCTGGGAGCAAGTCCACACCTTCTAAGTCGTACCCGGCGAATGCCGTGTCCAAGATTTTATCAATGACGGTTAACGAGGAAAGGAGACAGCGAGCAACCTTATTTCAAACCGGCGGAAATATTGATGAGCGGCGAAACTTCGACGTAAACACTCACTTTGCCAGAACTATGGGCGTACAGCTCTCTTATGGGATTTACACATTCTTCAAACACCCCTTTCCTCAATAGACAGTCCAGAAGGGCACGTCGATCAATCTCATCGAAGACTCGCTTGATGTCTAGGAACACACTACGGTGGCTCCTCAATAAAAATGGCGGTACTACAATAAATGACGTAATGTGAAGATGCGGTCAATGAAGTTCCGGTTTCGACGGAACCCGGTCTGCTTCTCGTGCATCAGACTTTCACGTGTGCCATCCAGTACATGAGGTACGACAGAGGCAAGCAACTAAGAAACAATTGAGATAAGACTGATTCCTTTATGATTGTCGCGCTCTGAACAGGAGCCTTCTCGAATATTGGGACTATAATGGAGTGGCTCCAGCCTGTTAGGATAGTCTCCTGATCCCATAAATTCATGTGTAAGCTATACAAATCGTCCAAAAAGCAGGTCCCTCGAATTTGAAGAGGGTTAGATGAAATCCATCTACTCCGGCGACCTTGTTCAACTTTAGCCGTCTGATCTTACGTCCGATTTGTGCGCGTGAGCGCGAATCAAGGGGGGGGCGGCCAAGGGGGCAGTGCGAGCATTGGCCGATGGAGAAGCTGGTCACTGACTGATTAAACTGCTTCTCAAGGTGTTCGGCTCAAGGCTCCAAGCGCTTTGATAAGATGTGGATCGGTTGTGCACTCTCATCGCATATGGTTTCGCTATGAGCAGATCTCCTACTGCGCGATTCTCGTATCAGACGGACGGTTACCAAAGGCAGTAGTTGTCTCTACCTCCGAAGTAAGATGAGACCACCAAAATTCGCGGTCTCCCTCCAAGCTAGCACGCAGTTTCGATCTGAGATCTTTTTGAGTCACATTGTATTCGCTTCCAGCCGGAACACGTCGGCGAGCATACAGAAGTTCCAGAGACTGCACAGAGATACAATGTCTAGGTAGGCGATTTGATCTGCCACATGAAGACATGCCTGCAGCTAATAACGTCTGGTTGATGTGCGACCAGTGATATTCAACTGTGTTCAGTGAGCGCCTACTCAACTTGAATGCCAGCGTAGTTTGATACGCATTCAGAAAGTCTGACTTCGCCAGTTGACAAGTCTATGCGCTCACAGCGCCGTTGGGGAGGTTTGCCGAAAGGCACCTGAAAGTCAGCGCAAACAAGTGCGTGGGCAGAGTATACGCTCGTGCTCTGAATGAAGCGACGGTTTTAAACGCATCCTTTCCAGCGGTAACTGATCGCGATGTGATCGATTTGCGTCCATGGCTGGTCTGAGGCCGGTGGGAGCCGTGTCACCCTTCTGCGGGTGCTGTGTCAGAAGTTACTGCTAGCGAAGAAGAGACGATCACCTTCACAAAAGTGTAACAACCGCTGACCGTTATCATTGCGGGATCCTACACCGTGTTGACCACCCAGACAAGGCTCATCAGTGGATGGATACCCAAATTGGGCGTTCAGATCACCAGCCAGGACCACAGAATCCGTGCTAGTTCTCTAGCGAAGGAACGCGTTCAATTTGTGATACAAATCATCTTCCACCGAGTCAGCGATACAAGTTATGGGCGCGTAGGTCGCAATGACAAACAACCATTGTTTGTTTAAAATGTTTTGGAAAACTGGTAGCTCGGGTTGATAATTCAGTTGCTCATTTGTTCGCCGAGCTGCGAAATTGGTTTGCAAACGTTTCACCGTCATGCGAGACGGCATCATCAGCGAGATTACACCCCACATCTCGACGCACTGATGATGCCGTCTCGCATGACGGTGAAACGTTTGCAAACCAATTTCGTAGCTCGGCGAACAAATGAGCAACTGAACCATTGCTTGTCCCCATGCAAGTTTGATATTTTGAAGGAGGCAGCCAATCTGACAGCGCACATCCTACTGTTCATCGGGATTCTATCGATCAGTGCAGCTTCAGTCCCGGGCTAAGAGCAATGCTCACATCGGCTTGATCGGCATTTGAAGTCGCGTCATCTCCGGACAAGCGCAATGAGAAAATACCGCTAGTGTCGCACGGTAATCACAGAACTCGAACCTTGCAGGCGAGTTTCTGATAAACAGCGGAGATGGATTGATAGGGTCTCTAGCGTTCGAGCAAGTGCTACATGTTGGTCAACCTGCAACGAAGTGCGCACGTTGAGGCACGCCAGTCTTAGCGAGAATCGAGGCTTCCAAATAGAAGCAGACGAACTGATGTTATCCATTTGGCTGGACATTGACTTGTCGACTGAAACGGAGCGATGCTATGCGATTGCATGTGTCGGAATTAGAAGATAAACAACTATGAAACCAAGATGGTGGAGACAAGAATTGGGTGGCTGAAAACAGGGATAAAAGGGAAGTTGGATAGAGATGATAAGGAAGAAAAGGTACGAGAGGGAAAATAGAAAGACGGAAAAGCTTGAGAAGTAGCATCCAAACCTCTATCCAACCTGCTAGATGCAGCAGGTGGGGTGTCGTTTATTATCCTCTGCGACGGTCAAGAGCATTAAAAATTGTTTTAAGGGAAAGTCATTTTACTGCGTAAGCAGGATACTGTCAGATGGCCCAGGCCTAGACAAGAGAACGATTAGAGTTCGCAACCAAAGCCTTTGGCTCAGAAACCTGACTGCAAGACAGCGAGGTGCGGGCACTGGACTACATTGAGTAAGGAGCCATCCTCACTTCAACCCCTAATCTGGAGGGTCAGGAGACTGAGTTTGTCACGTATCTAACCACTGACCAATCTAAAATGAGTGGTTCTGACTTTGATAAAGCATCACCTAGCATGGTCCAATGGATTGCTGAGGCAAGCAAACCATCGTACCAGGTTAAGGTCCAATCTCGTCGAATCGGCAGCCTCTACAAATCACAATACAACTAATATCCTTCTACATGTAGGGCGCCCAGGCCTGAACATAGTATCCCAGTTATGGTCTAACCACTGCATTATACAAAGGGAGAAAGAACTCTGGCTTGGTACAACTCAGAGGTCTCCTGAGTCGAAAGAACTGTCGTGCTTTATCAGCAGCACGTTTACATCGCGCCGGCAACTTAGAATTATTCGTCGCGATGATGCTAAGATCTCGTGTATTGGTAACATGTTGCAGTGTCAGGTACCCAACGGGTGCATGCAATATATCCACCACTCGGAATCAGGATTTGGCATCAGCTGGTGTTCAAGGGAAAATCCTGTGTGACCACTGAATGACAGTAGTCAAATTTTTATATGGTGTAGCCTTGTCGCCCTTGCTA